TTTAGTCACTTTATTACTTGACGACCGCGTATACTTGCGTGAGTGTGTTTGGTCGCAACATTAATCTAGTAAAGCGACATGATGATAAATGGACCTTGGGCATAACTCATCCCTAAAAGTTAGCTTATGAGGTGGGCATTACCCAAAACTATATAAGGAGACCAAGGACCTCAAATCTAACCGATGTGGGATAACTCAACACCCTCTCACGTCCAGGCCTGCAAATTGGAGCGTGGATAACATAAATAGGGGCCCGGGCCTGGCTCTAATACCATAATAAATGGACCTTAGGCCTAGCTCAACCCCAAAAGCTAGCTTATGAGGTGAGGATTGCCCAAGACTATATAAGGAGTCCAAGGACCTCAAATCTCACAGACGTGGGACAACTCAAATTCGTATAAAATTTATACAATATGTATTTTGTATGTATTTTGTATAAAATTTATATGTATTTTGTATGTGGTGTGTTCTTACTTCCTCTCTGAAAATTTCAATCAAAACTTTCTCTTTTAATAATATTTTGATATATATCAATAATTTATGTAAAAAAGATAGTATTTATAACTTAAATACAAATTTCATACAACGATTCATACATTATACAAATAATTTTTAACTTTAATACAATATTCAAATAAAAAAAACTACAATAGAATACAACTTAAATACAATTTACACACAACTATAATACAACTTTATACAAATTTAATACAACTTTATATGTATATAGTATGTCATGTGTTCTTCTTCAAATTTCAATATGAAAATCCAGCCCAAATCAAATCTAATCTTCACCAAATACCCTCAAAATCGATATATAAACTCCATAGAATATTTTCAATCGATTAACACCCAATACAAACAAAAAATATTTTTTGAAAATATCGAATTCGAATTCAAAAGATTTGATATTTTTTAATAGATGTTAATGGTGGAGAGTGAGATAATTAATATTCATCTACTGCTAGCCATCCATCGGAACACCAACAAGAAAAGGGGAAGCCCAGAAAATCTCCAAACTCCAGCCATGACAAAATTTAAATCGATAAGAAATTAATTTCTTTCTTCGTCACTGTTAGAGATAATTATGAGCTTTAGAAGAAAAACCTTGTAGAATCTGTATAGAAGAGAGTTGATTTCAAAGAGAGAAAAAGGAAAATCCTTTAGAAAGAATTTGTGATTGGGGTTTGTGTGGGTAAGAAAAGAAATGTAAGGGTGTAAAGGGAGTTACTAAATTAAAAGGCTACAATCAAGGCATACTCATTTAAAACTAATTACTATTATATAATTGATAAATTATATATGACCATGTAATTAAGTTAAATCTTGATTAGGGAGGGTAAATAAGTTGCATATGTAGTATAAATAGGTAAAAATGCCCTTTCCAATTTCATCTGCCTTGTTCATCTTTCACCTGACCTGGCCCGCCTACCCTGCATTTCTCTTTCGCTCGTCTCAGACGGGGCTCTCTCCCCCTCCTTCCTCCTCCATTTCTCACAACAGCAATGTTCTCTTTCGCCTTTCTCCTTAGTTGTTTTTCTTTCAAACTGTTGATTATAATTTTTTTTCCTTTTTCTCTGCATTTTGTTGTTACTTTTTATATCTTATTTATGATTTGCTTTCGGCTGCTTTGTACTACTGAGTTTTTCTTGCAACATGTTGGCTTTTATAATACATGCTTGTTTATGCGTTTGGGTATGTTGTTGTTGTTGCTTGTTTATGTATTTGAGAAGACTTAAAATGTTAGGGTTTTACAACTTGTGTCGTCGATTGACAACTCGATTATAGAAAAGGATAACGTGTGAATATCTCAGGTTTGCAATTTGTAAAAGATTAGGGACTTTTGTGGAGTGCGGCTTTATGGGTTAGCTTGTATCAGGGGTACGAGGCCTCTGCAATTTATTGTCAACCCAGATGGCTTAATGATTTCTTGGATCCAATCAGATGTTTTATAAGAATTTTAGCTGCTTAGATATATTAACTAACCTACTTTCTCTACTTTTTGGTATAGCTATTGCATATGGGAGCTTTTCCCAATATCAATAAGATAACTCACCTTTTCAAAAAATAAAAAGATAAGCCTACTTATATAAAAATAAAATAAAAAGATATATGGATAAACCAGTTTATCATTAGTGATCTACCTGAGTACTCGTTGCTTACCCCAAATTCAGAGGCAAAGTGAAATTCTGATGCACTATCTCTATCTCTAATAATTGTCGAATCCCTTAATAACAATGACACTGAAGAAAATTCATGAGAAAGTTTGATATGATGAGAATAACATTGTAGAGTCCATCTAAAAAACCTGCAAGTTCTCGGAGCTCTACATCATTAAACACTTACCAAATTCTTACCAATTTCATCAAAAACAAACATCAAACATATCCTAGATCAGAACTTGGAGCACATAAGTTTAGTTGAATAATTGTTTTAAATATTGATATTAGACTTGCACATTCTTCTCAATCTTAACAACTTATGCCGAGTGGCCAATAGAGAGTAGAGGAAAAGATGCTACCAGATTTTATTTGCACTGAATGGGATGCGAGGTATGTGGTCTCTTTTTATGTAAGCATGTTTGATATGTGCCTTTGGCGCATGTTGTGGACTCTGGTATCGACCTTCAGCTTTTTTCCCACCTTGGGATGGTTGCAAACCTTGTTATCTAACTTGTAGCTAAACTTTATTATGTTGGATGTGAAAAGAGGCATGTTGGCTCTTTTATGTGAATTTAGTGTTCGAATTCTGTTATCAAGCTTGTTGTCAAACTTCAATTGCCTTGGCTGGAAGCAAGACATTTAGTCTCTTTATGTAACACATATTTGTTGTTTGTTTTGGGTAGATATTACAGACTCTATTACCTTATTTGTAACCAAATATTTTATGTTGGGTAGGAAACAGGAGCGACACAAAATTTTCATCAAAGGGATTCAACATTTGAAGAAGTAAACGGTGAAAGTTTCTGGTGCATTCTTATTCTAATCCACTTTATTTTTATTGGACAGAGGATCAAGACTTTCAGTGAACTAATGTTTCGTTCAAAACTTGGGGAGATTAATGCTCGGTTAAGAAAGGATGGGTTGATAAGTACCTTATCCTCTTCTCGTTTATGATCCAAACATTTTGGTCTTCAAGGTGTTGTTGTTGCTTCGAATCTTGTGGTGTGGATATGTTATAATAACAAAATTAACCTGGATAGGATTGAATCTAGAGTGGTTAATCTCATAAAGCGACATGACTCGATGTAAGTTCATGGAATTTCTAATTTTGAGTTATACATTTATTTGTTTTACTAGTAATGTAATGACATTAAACAATGTTCATCACAGGCATAAGGATTTCCGAAGGAAAGGAAACATAGCTGAATGTGAAGCTGTAAAAGCAATACTTCTACCTTTTCCATAGATTTCTGTTAAACCAGTAATAATCTTCCTCCTTGCATTTTGTGCTCTACTTCTAGCTGACCATTCATGTTAAGAATTTCACTAATGCTCCCTCCATCCCAATTTATAAGATGATGTATGACTGGACACAAAGTTTAAGAATGAAAGAAAAAATTTTAAAACTTGTAGTCTGAAACAAGACATAGAAATTTTTGTGTCTATAAATCGTCACATTAAAGGTATAATAAGAAGTTTAAAGTTAAATTGTTACTAATTATAGAAATGTATCATTTTTGGGACGGACCAAAAATGAAAGAGTGACATAAATTGGGATAGAGAGAGTAACATTTTTTATTTGTTTGTGAAATTTTGCTTGGATGATAAGCTATGTATTTCTTTTTCTTCTTGTTTTTCCTTTTCTTTAGGCAATGTTACTTGATCTTTTATTAAAATATTTTATCTTCAGGTAGGGCTAGTTGCCCTGATGGTTGAGGATGAAGAAGGAGAAGGGGAGGTGAAAAAGAAGAAAAACAAGGAGGAGGTGAGTGAATGAATTAGTTTTTTACCTTGATATGATAATCATCGCAATTATGTGACTGTTAGATCGAAAATGATAGTTTTTTATTTTTCTCATATCACTTTTATGCCTTCATCTTTATTAGTGGTTTTTTCAATCTATAGATTACACCAGATTGGTCGCAGGTCTTGACCCTCAAGAAAACAACTGAAGAAAAAATTAAAAAGGGTAGGAAATGGATTTCTTGATATCCCTTCATTAACATTGTTTGTTTTATCCCTTCATTAATATTGTTTGTTTTGCTTTGTCTGAAATAGAGGGAGTTATTGGCATTGGATCTGTTGGAGCTTTGCTTGGGGTAGCTGTTGGGATAGTTGCATCTTCTTTCTTCCGCAAGGATTGATTTGCATTGGAACCAATTTCTTTCTTGTTGATCCTATTTCTTATCCTTTAAAGTCATTACGTAGCTTTAATGATATTAGTCATCCAATTTTGGCGCAGTATGTTTGTTGTAAGAATAAAACAAGTTTCTTTGTAAGATTTTGCATACATTGATTTATATGTGCGGTCACAATTAATAGCTAGCAAACTAAGATGTGTGTTTGGTTTGGCAGAAAATATTTTACACGAAAAAAAATATACTTTCATATTCTATAGATGGAAGTTGTTCGTCAAAAAGAAAACAACTATAAACTCTTACTCCAAATTAGTTGTTCCTCAAATACTTAGAATTATACTCCTATCAATCTTTATTTGTTAATACTAAAAATATTTTCATCAAAATTTAAAAGGTACATGTCCACGTTCTCTCTCATCTCGAATTATTTTGTTTTAAATTTTCTCACTGCTTCGTGCATGGACCTCTGATAGAGTATTTTGCCACATATTGATTCAAATCCTATAACTTCAATGCACTAGAACAAAGTTACAATCTCAATCATATAACTTATATTTGGGAAAAGATTAAAGGAAAAACAACAAGACCAACCATTTAACTTGCCGGTTGTAGGAAATAAAGTCCACCATAAGGGGTGCTCTTAGGGCCCATTAGGCAAAGCACAATAGTTTTAGTAATTACTGTAACCCTAGTATTCCATATATAAGTACACTTACTGTGTACAATAAAGTGAGACACTCTACAGTATTTTTCTACGCCTAGTCTTCTCCTAAAGTTAGACTAGGATTTAGACTGTGGAATATGGGATTGCTCCAACACATCGTGACAACCACCACCGACCAGTGATTCCAGTCGCGGTTCATCCGTCTTCTGCTTCCACTTCACGAAGAAAGAGTAAGTTCTCGTTTTACAATTTACGCGTTAATCTAATGTGTTTAGAGTAGCGTGTTCCTTCATTGGTATCAGAGCCATTGACTGGTTTTCTGGTCCAAAAAATTATAGAAATGTTCTGATTTTCTACGTGAATCTAGAACTGTATTTATTTATAATTTTTTTATACGTGTGTTATGCAATTGGAAATTGATAAAGCAATATTTAAACATTGATTTAAAGTTAAGTATGAATCAGTTTTAAATGAGTTCTTTACCTGGCAGTGTTATATATTGGTATTAAAAAAATTAAAAAGGGGGTCTTGTTGAATAGATCACTCAAATCAGTTTATACCAGATTTTTTTTTTTCGATTTGGATTTGTCCAAACGCCTTTCCACCGCCGTTTTTTCGCTGCATAGAAGCCACTGTAACAACACCACTGTCACTACTGTTGAACTTAGGCGAGGAGCTTTGTGCTCCAATAACAATGGCGTGTGGTCAAAATCTGTTATGAAAAGCCTTGAAAATAAGAGATTTTAGCATAGTATGAAAACGTGCCAACATAATTACCAGAAAAAGTCATATTTATAGATATTGGCATTAGATGGCCAATAAATATATATCACAATAATAATATGTATATCAAAATGTATATCACAACTTTCTTTCCTTCTTTGTCTATATTAAAATTTTATTTTTCTTCTTTGTATATCTAAAATATAAAATTATAAAAAGAGTTACTTAAAATTTATTATTGTCTCTATATCTTGTATATCACAATAAAAATAATTATATTTTTTGTTTATCCAAGTGTATAACACATCAAATAACGTGTATACCAAAATGTATATCACAAGTTTGCTTTCTTTCTTTGAGTATATCAAAATATTATTTTTCTTCTTTGTATATCAAAAATTTATTTATTTTCCTTTGTATATCCTATTGTATCACACATAAGTTCTTGTGGATATACACAAATATATATGCTAGAATATATTGATATATAAGATGAGAATTAGAACTATTTTTTTATTAAAAAAATAAAAAAGATGAAAGAAAAAAGAATGAGAATGAATTCACCCATCAACACCAAGAATTGGTCGTGTGACAAATAACACAAAAAAATTCACAAGAAAATATCTATTTTTAAATTAGTAGGAATAACTTTTTATTCGTCCAATTTGGGTTGTACTGGAGACATAAGAAATCAAATGGGTTCACATTAGGATTGTGTCTATTATGGTAGTGTCAATCGGTTCCTTTACTATCCGTAAAAGCGTTCGCTCTCCGCTTCTCCTCATCTCCATGAACCCGTAATATTTCTGAATAGCATTCAACCATTACAACTTCCCAAACATTATCAAAGAACATATGCCCTTCTAAATCCAGATTGAAAAGGAAAATTTGTTAGATTGAAGAAGAAGAAAAAAAGAAAAGATTGAAGAAGAAAATTGGAGAAGAAATACGGGGAGAAATAATAAATAAGAAACTAGGGTTATTTAGAATTTGGCTATATAATGCCAATATTTTGGGGTTACCTTTGCCAAACCTAATATAGGGCTAAAATATTGCCAATTCTCTTTATGTGTTATCATACCATGTCATTTTCTCAATAAATAAAGATAAAATGGCACCAGGTGACAACACATAATAAGAATTGGTAATTTTTTAGCCTTATATTAGGTTTGGCAAAGATAGCCCCAAACAATTGGCATTTATATAGCCAAATCCTAAAAAAAAACTACTCTCTTATATATTCTCTCTCAAGCAGTTGGCNCCCTCTTCGCCGCTCACTTCTCTTCTTGTTCACTGCTTCCCTCCCCCTTTCTCTCCTTGTATTTCTTCTTCTATCCCTTCTCTTTCGCCCTCATAGTTTAGCAAAAATATTTGCAAATTATGCAAAAAATATCAGTAGGATGAAAAGGTAAGGTTAATCTCACATCAGAGAAAATCAGAAGCAAAAACTATGAGGGAAAAGAATTCATTTCAACTTTGTTTTTCTTCTCTCTTCTTTTTTTTTGGTTGGATTGAACGAGTGGGTGTGATTGATATTGGTTGAAAATACCTAAACGAGTCTATATACAAAATTTGAGCAATATTAGAAGTGATTTAGATTGGTTTCAGGTAAAAATTCAAACCTAAAAATCCAACTGCGACATATGTATATCACGTTATATAGCGTGTACATCAGTGTATATTACACATAGGTTTTTAAGGACGTCTGTGTATATCACTTTGTATATCGTGTATATAACATAATTTTCTTATGGACGCCCGTGTATTTCACATTGTATACGCATATATAACACAAATTTTCATGGATATACACATAATACACGTGATATACATGAGATATCACTGATGTACATAGAGATATACACGGGATACAATTGGGGATACACATGTGGAGTCATCTTGAACTTGAGTTTTCAATCTAAAATGTGTTATACAAAGAAGGAAAATAAAATTTTAATATTCTTTTTTGATATACACATTATTATTATTATTATTATTATGTAATACATTGTGATATACAAATAATATAATTATTATTGTGTTATATATATTGGATATACATATAAAAAACAAAAAAATAATTTAAAACTATTTGGAAGTTTTTTCGAATACTGCTGAAGGAAATGGACCCTAATTTTTAGGATGATGGTTGCTATGAGAGAGAGAGAGAGAGAGAGAGAGAGAGAGAGAGAGAGAGGATTTTAAATATTTTTTGCTATTTTTAAGGAAAATAATTTTGATGGGGCTTATTTTTAGGATGGTGGTTGAACCATTAGAAGAGAGATAATAACTTTCGGCTACCATATGCCAAATCCTAAAACGTTGGTTTTTTTTATGCCAATTGTTGGACCTAGTTGTCATGACATGCCAAATCCCCAAAAATAAAGAGGATGGGCCAAGGAGTTGCTGGCAGCATTAACAATTGGGGTTTTGGCATTGTATGACAATCTAACCTAATAAATGGCATAAAAAAGGCTAACTTATGTTATTGGCATCTTATGACCTGCATTTATGTTTTAATTTAAAAAATTAATTTTGTTTAATAAACTATGTTAGACCTTCTCCCCGTATGTCTCTCTCTCTCTCTCTCTCTCTCTCTCTCTCTCTCTCTCTCTCTCTCTCTTCGTATCTCTTCTCCATATCACCTCATTCTCTCTCTTCACACCAGAAAATTTTAGAGCAATTGGCATAAATAGATTGCCCAAAAGAATGAATCAACCATAAATTTGAATTCTCGTGGCCCGTTTTCGAAGTTGGCACAAGATTTTTTCATTCTCACTTAGCATTAATGGACGAAATAAAGCAAACTTTCTACAAAATTACACCAAAAATTTGTCCAAGAAAGAAATATTCTATTTGAATCGAAAGAGGAATGAATTTGGGTGACTATACTCATTCCAAGTTTTTTGAACTTTCGAATTTGGGTGAATCCACATCTAAGTGTATATCAACTGATATATCAATATATATCACCTTGTATATCTGTTTATTTCATGTATATCATGCATATTTATATGCATGTCTATGTATATCAATGAAAATGTTGTGTGATATACACTGACATGCAATGTGATATACATGTCTATGTATATCAATAAAAATCTTGTGTGATATACACACTGATATATAACATCCAAAACATGTATTGGTGATTATTTGCGAAATGTATATCACAATTTTACTGTCGCTTTTTATGTATATCAAAATGAATATTAAAATTTTATTTTTCTTCTTTGTATATCCAAACTAAGAATTTATAAATATAGTTATTCAAAATTTATTGTTATCTCTATACTAATGTATTATCATAATACAAATAATTATATTATTTCTATATCACAATGTACAACATATCAAATAATGTGTATATTAATATATATATCAGAAATTTATTTTTCTTTTTTCATATATCAAAATTTTATTTTTCATCTTTGTATATCAAAATGTATATCAAAAATTTATTTACTCCTACAATTATATTTATTATAAGAACTTGCTCTAAACCTATATACATTGCTAAGTGGAAAATAAAATAAAAAATCTGAAAAGGAATATAAAGAGATTTTGGAAATTTTTAGATACTTTTGAAAGGAAATAAAACATAAATTTTAGGAACATGGCTGCAACCAATTGGAAGAGAAAGATTCTTTAATAAAGAAAACTAAAGAGAATAAGACACCATTTATAGAGGAAGATACGGAAAGCAGTAGTCGGAAAACGGTTGCCTTACATGATGCACAATGAAGAAATGGAGAGAAGAGAGAGAGAGAACGGT